CATGCTGCTGCTGCTTCTGCAGCTCTTTCTCGGGCTCTCGCTGTCTCCCAGGGTCCTCTTGCTCTCTCAGACTCCGCTCCAATCCCGTCCGTCTCGATCCCCCGATGGGGAACCCGATCGTGAAGACCCTCGTCTGGTCGGGGACAGGAGTCTTGGCGATGCCTGGCTCCCGCTTCAGCTGCTCCCAGATCCTGCTATAGCCCCAGTTGGGGTCAGGAATCTGTTCCTTAGAGCGGTCATCCTCCTCCAGCTGCACGATGAACTGTGCTTTGGTGAACTTTCCAATGCTCAACCCTCTCTTTTTGCACAGGGTTACAATGTCCTTCTTAAGGAGACGGTGACAGGCCATCACTCCGCTCCTCCCAAGTTGTTGTGGACTCACAGGCCCGTGTGTTCTCAGCTCCCCACGGTTTCCAGGGAGAACCCCTAGTGTGCCAGCCCTTCTCGAGGTCACCCCCCTCTTTGCCAGGGTCGAGCTGCAGACTCCTCCGCCCCTTGGACTGCTCGCTGCAATCCCCAGGGGAACCCTGTTACTGCACAGTCCTCGCTGGTCACACACTCCCAGGGGTTAACCGCCCCCCGAAACCGCTCCTCTCTGAGCCTTCAGCAGGCCTGGTCCTCGGCAATCCCCCTTCGTGTTACTGCTCCCCAGTCACTTACTGCAGAAAGCACCATCCACGGGGTGCAGTACATCCCACCGCTGCCACCAGTTGTCACGGAGTCCCTGGGCGATGCTCTGGAACTGCTCCCCATGAAGCCAGTCAGGACTCTGGGGCAGTCGCCTTTCTGTGAGCAGCCTGTCTTCAGGACACGCAGCTCACTCAGCTTCCACCTTCCTGGGTCTGACCTCGGAGCATTCAGCATCCTCTGCCCCTCCGTGCGCTTCCCACAGCGAGTCCGCTCAGGCGGGGCTCCTGGGGAAGCCAGAGGGTCCTGCACCCCAACTTCGCAGTCAGACGTGACTCTCAGCCAGCCAGTAAAACAGAAGGTTTATTAGACGACAGGAACATGGTCTAATACAGAGCTTGCAGGTGCAGAGAACGGGACCCCTCAGCTGGGTCCATTTTGGGGGGCAGTGAGCCAGACAACCACGTCTGCACTTCACTCCATGTCCCAGCCAGCCCCAAACTGAAACCCCCTCCAGCCCCTCCTCCTCTGGGCTTTGTTCCTTTCCCCGGGCCAGGTGGTCACCTGATTCCTTTGTTCTCCAACCCTTCAGCTCTCACCTTGCAGGGGGGGAAGGGCCCAGGCCATTAGTTGCCAGGAAACAGGGTGTCGGCCATTCTCTGTGTCCAGACTCCTGCACACACCTGCCCTCTAGGGCTCTGCAATGATCATACACCCTTACTCCACCCCCTAGATACTTAAGAACTGCATAGGGGAAACTGAGGCACCCCCACACTATTCAGAGGAAACATTAAGAACAGTCCCACTTCGTCACACCCCGGGCCAGTAAAAGTTCTGTAGCAACCTCTGCCGGGTGCGCCGGATTCCCTGGTGCCCTGCGAGGGGGATGTCATGGGCCAGGTACAGGAGCCTGCGGCGATACTTCTGGGGGACCACCAGCTGCCTCCTGATCCCACAGGACTCTACTTCCCTTGTGGGAGCCCATTCTCGGTACAGGAACCCCTTCTCCCACAGGAACCTCTCCTGGCAGCCTCTCCTCATGGTCCGTCCCACACCAAGGTCGGCCAGGTCCCTGAGCTTCCGCAAGGAGGATCTTTCCTCAACTCGGCCTGGAACTCAGCGGCTGGGGAAGGGATGGGGACCGGTTCCCTCTCATTGGCCGGGTCTGAGGCCACAGCCTCTCTGAGCCGTGCCCCTCGGCGCTCCCTCCCCACCAGGGTAGGGTCCTGCGCCTCCGGTGCGGTACCCTCCCCGAGGTCAGGGAGCAGTGGCCCTCGCCGGCTCTGGCTACGGGTCACAACCAGGGCGGTCTGGGGCTTGCTTGGCCAGTCCTCTAGGTCTCCCCCCATCAAAACTTCAGTGGGCAAATGGTGGTGTACCCCCACATCCTTGGGGCCCTCCTTGGCCCCCCATTTCAGGTGTACCCTTGCCACGGGCACCTTAAATGGGGTCCCGCCCACCCCTGTCAGGGTCAGGTAGGTGTTGGGCACCACCCGATCTGGGGCCACCACCTCGGGCCGGGCCAGCGTCACCTCCGCGCCCGTATCCCAGTATCCATTGACCTTCCTCCCATCCACCTCCAGGGGAACAAGGCACTCTCTCCGGAGGGACAGCCCCGCGCCCACCCTGTAAACTGAGCACCCTGAGTCCAGAGCCTCCAGCCCTCTGGTGGAGCTGGCCTGGGGTACTCTTCCCTCCGGGGCAGGTGGTAAACTGGTAGCCCCCCCTTTCCTGGGTCGTCTGCCCCTCGTCCAGCTGGGTCCCTACCCAGTTAACCCTGGGTAGGTTGGGTCTGCTCAGTTTGTCCCTGAGCCCAGGGCACTGGGACCGTACGTGGCCTCTCTGGCCACAGTGATAGCAGCTCAGGTCACGTTGGTCCCCTCGAGCGGGTCGGAGGGGCCCGATGCCAGGCGTTCCCCTTTGGAGGGGGTTCTCCCTATTTCCCCGCTGGGAGGCCCCCTGGTGACTCTCTCTGCATCGGGGGGGGGCCTGTTCTTTTGGGACTCCTCCCGGCTACCCCCTGACCGACTGTTCACAAACTCGTCGGCCAGCTGCCCTGCGTGCTGGGGGTTCTTTAGCTTTTTGTCCACCAACCACAGCCTCAGGTCGGAAGGGCACTGTTCATACAGTTGCTCCAGTACAATTAGGTCAAGCAGGTCCTCTTTAGCTCGGGCCCCAGCTGTCCTCTTGCGGGCATACCCCTGCATCCGGTTGACCAGTTGTAGGTAGGTGACCTCAGGCGTTTTACGTTGACTCCGGAACCTTCTCCGGTACATCTCGGGGTCAGCCCAAACTCACGGAGCAGGGCCTGTTTGAACAGTTCATAGTCCCCTGCCTCCGCCCCTGTCATCCAGCTGTACACCTCCACGGCTTTGGGGTCCAGTAAGGGGGTGAGAAACTGGAGCCTGTCTGCAGGGTCAACCCTGTGCAGCTCACAGGCATTCTCAAAGGCCGTCAGGAAGCTATCTATGTCCTCCCCCTCCTTCCGCTGGGCCAGGAAGCACTTATCAAAGCTCCTTGCAGTCTTGGGTCCCCCGCACTCACCGCAGCCGGGGCCCCACTGCTCCTCAGCCTGGCCAGCTCCAGTTCATGCTGTCTTTGTTTCTCCTTCTCCTGACGCTCCCTCTCCTTCTCCTGACGCTCCCTCTCCTTCTCCTCCTGCTCATGTTGACGTTGTTTCTCCTCATGTTGACTTTGTTTTTCATGATCCTCCAGCTCCCTCATTTTCATCTCCCTCTCCCATTCCAGCCGCCTCTGCTCCAGGGATGGGGAGCTCCGCCGGGAGGATCCCTGCTGGGTGCTGGGGTCAGGGTGCCCTCGGTATTCGCGGGGCTTCCCCCAACCCCTCCCACAGACATAGGTAGGAAGGGTCTCGGGATGTCCTCGGCAGCAGTCTGACCCCTCCCAGCCCGGTCAGGCCCCGGGGCCCATGCTGCGTCTGCCGGGCGGCTCCCCTCAGGGACAGGGATCGGGTCATCCAAGCGATCCCTCTCCTCCAACTGGGCAATCAGTTGTTCCTTGGTGGACCTCCCGATGCGCAGCCCCCTCTGCCTGCACAGCTCCACCAGGTCACTCTTAAGGCGTTTAGCGTACATCTCCCTGCTGGCCACTCGCAGGCCGGGCAGCTTCCCACGGTTTCCAGGAAAAGCCCTTAGTGTGCCAGTCCTTCTTGAGGTCACCACCTCTTTGCCAGGGTCGAGCTGCAGACTCCTCCGCCCCTGGGACTGCTCGCTGCAATCCCCCGGGGGACCCTGTTACTGCAAAAGTCTTTCTCTCTGGTCACACATTCCCAGGGGTTAACCGCCCCCGAAACCGTCTCTCTCTGAATCTTCAGCACGCCTGGTCCCCGTCAATTCCCCTTCGTTTTACTGTTCCCCAGTCACTTACTGCAGGAAGCACCGTTCACGGGGTGCAGTAGATCCCACCTCTGCCACCAGTTGTCACGGAGTGTGGGGGAGTCCAGACCCTGCACCCCTCTTCCTGGGATCCACTGAGACTCTCAGCCAGCCAGTAAAACAGAAGGTTTATTGGACAACAGGAACACGGTCCACAACAGAGCTTGTGGGTACAACCAGGACCCCTCAATCACGTCCTTCTGGGGGAGCAGGGAGCTTAGACCCCAGCCCTGGGGTTCCCTGTGTTCCTCTCCCCAGCCTCCAAACTGCCCCTAAACTCACCCCCGCAGGTTCCCTGCTGCAGCCTCCGTCCACATTCCTGGGCAGAGGTGTCACCTCCCCCCCTCCCCCTCCTGGCTCAGGTGACAGGCTCTCAGGTCTCCCCTCCCCAGGGCACATTCCCAGGTCAACACTCCCCCCTCCCTGCTGCGTCACATCATCACAGGCTGGGTGGAGGAACACAGGGAACCCCAGGGCTGGGGTCTAAGCTCCCTGCTCCCCCAGAAGGACTTGACTGAGGGGTCCTGGGTGTTCCTGTTGTCCAATAAACCTTCTGTTTTACTGGCTGGCTGAGAGTCTCAGTGAATCCCAGGAAGAGGGGTGCAGGGCCTGGACTCCCGCACACTCCGTGACACCCACCCCCTAGCTACTTAAGAACTGCCTAGGGGAAACTGAGGCACCCCCACCCTATTCCGAGGAAACATTAAGAACAGTCCCACTTCATCACAGGGGGTCTCTGCTCTCTCAGTCTTTGCACCGGGGCAGCCCTAGGGGGCTTGTGCTGGGGGAACTGGGGCAGGGGCGCTCTCCCCTCGCAGTCAGTGCTGGCCCCATTGCCCCCAGCGATGCTGGGGGGCGCCGTGCTGCACGCACCTGCCCCCCCCCCGACACCGGGGAGCGTTTGTGTGAATGTCACAGCCCGGGAGCTGGGGGGCTGCGCTGTTGGGGGAAGCGCTGAGACCCCCTCCCCCGGGCGGGGGATCAGCCCCCCAGGTGGCCGGTGCTGACGCCCGTCTCCCCGCAGCGGAGAACATGCTCTCCCAGGTGGCCTTCTACCAGCGCACGGACCCGGCCCAGCGTGAGGCCGGGGAGTTCATGTTCGAGTTCGACCAGGACGAGATCTTCCACGTGGACCTGGAGAGGAAGGAGACCGTCTGGCGCCTGCCCGACTTCGGCAAGTTCACCAGCTTCGAGGCGCAGGGCGCCCTGGGCAACATCGCCGTGCTGAAGAAGAACATGGAGATCATGATCCAGAGGTCGAACCGCACGCGGGCCCAGAACGGTAACGGGGGGGCACCTTCCCCACCAGGGGCCTGAGCCCTCCCACCACCTTCCCTGCCAGAGGCCTGGCCCCTTCCCCGCTTCCCCCGGATCCTTCTCCCCACCTTCCTGAGCAGAGACCCCTCCCATCTCTCCCCTACCTTCCCCTCCTCGCACACCCACCCGGGCCTGATACCAGACCCCACCAGAGATTGAGAGTCTCCTCCCAGCTCCCCCCACAGCCCCTGGAGGGCTCCAGGGAGCCAGTCAGCCGGGCCAGGGCTGTGCAGGGCAGGGGCCCGGGCAGTTCACACCCTCCAGGCTGGTGGCCCAGGGCATCTCTTTGCCAAGGGCTGTTCCTTGCCCGTGCCCAGCCCCAGGCCCTGCCCCTGAGGGATTCTCTCGCCGGCCCCTGGTGCCCCATGAGCCGTCAGGGCAGGGAGCTGGGACGGCCCCGGTGACGCCCCCACAGTCCTGGGGAGAGACCCCTGAGCTGGAGCGTGAGCACCAGGGACTGGCTGGCTCAGGGGGGCAGGGAATGGGGCACGGGGCCTTTCCCCTCTAGGGGGTGCTGGCTCCGATCCAGCCCCAGGGCAGGGACTGGCTGTCTCAGGGGCAGGCAGTGGGACCCACTCACCTCTGTCTCCCCAGTGCCCCCTGAGGTGACCGTGTTCCCCGAAGACCCCGTGGAGCTGGGGGAGCCCAACGTCCTGATCTGCTTTGTGGACAAGTTCTCCCCACCCGTGCTCAGCATGACGTGGCTGAAGAACGGGCAGGAGGTGAAGGGGGGCGTCTCGGAGACCGACTTCTACCCCCGCCAGGACAACTCCTTCCGCAAGTTCTCCTACCTGCCCTTCCTCCCCAGCCAGGGCGACTTCTACGACTGCCGGGTGGAGCACTGGGGGCTGCCCGAGCCCTTCACGAAGCACTGGGGTAAGGCTGGGATGCCCGGGAACCCCGTGGGCCCAGGGCTGGGAGCCAGGATGCCTGGGTTCTGTCCTGGCTCTGGGAGGGGAGTGGGGGCTAGTGGGTCAGAGCAGGGGGGCTGGGAGCCAGGACACCTGGTTCTATCCCAGCTCTGGGAGGGAAGGTTGGGAACAGCCCCCCTCACTCCGTGCCCTGTCCCTCTCCTCCTCTCTCCAGAAGTCCAGGTGCCCACCCCCGTCCCCGAGACCACAGAGACCCTGATGTGCGCCCTGGGCCTGGCCGTGGGCATCATCGGCATCATCGTGGGCACCATCCTCATCATCAAGGGCATGAAGATGAACGCCGCCCGCAACCCGCGGGGCCCCTTGTGAGTAGCCGCTTCCCGGGGAGGGCACCCGCTGCACCCGCAGCCCCTGGGCCCACACAGCACTCCCCGGGGAGACCCCCACCTGTTGTGTGTCCCCCAGCCGGCCACAGCCCCATAGCCCATCCAGCACCCACTGGGGAGACTCCCTGCACCCGCTGTGCTCCTCCCAGCCAGCCCCCCCTGTGTCACAGGGAAACTCCCAGGCAGTGCTGGGAAGTGGCCCCGATCCCTGCCAGCTTCGTGTTGGGGCCCAGAGCTCCTGGTAACTGACCCTCTTTGCCTTTCAGATAAACGCGGGGAGGAGCCGGGCCCCTGAACCCCCAGGTGCCTTCGGGAGACCCACTCGTACTGCCCCCCCGCTGCCCCCAGCGTCCCTGCTCCGTGCCCGTTGGTGCCAGCTGCTGTACCCCGACCCCGTAACCGGGACAAGCCAACCCGCTAGAGACTCACCAGGGAGCCGGCCCCTCGGACTTCCCTCACCCACCCCGCTGCTGGGCTTGGGAGGGGGCACCTATCCAGGGAGAGGGCTGCTGCCCCATGGGGCTGGGAATGGGGGTGGCCCCTCGTCAGGGGCAGCAGGGCCCACGGGGCTGATCCAAACCCCATGGCCATCGTGGGGAAGGTTTCTCTTGACTCCAGTGGGCGCTGGATTGGGCCCCGAGCCCGGCCCCTGTTGGCCAGAGGCTGCTGTCAGTCAGCCCAGGTAAAGCCCCTCCAGCCATTACCCAGAAGGCTTTGGGCCAGATTCGGCCATTCCCGGTCAATGGGGTCCCTGTGGGATGGGATCAGGCCCATGGCTGGGGGTGGGGCAGCCCCAGCACCCGGCTAAAGGCCCCATGGCACCCGTGTGCGGCTCCCCCGGGTCCAAGGGCCCAGCGCGGGGTCTGTGTGGGAAGGGCCCAGTCCCCGTATAGCCCCCGCCCCGTGTGTGTCCACAGCCGGGCCGCCCCCGATCTCGCTCTGCCGCTTTGCGAACAGCCATAAAATGGGTTTTGGGGACGTTTTTTATCATGATTTTAAATCTGGTCAGTCTGGGCCGTGTCCGCGGCAGCCTGTGTTAGCCCAGCCCAGCCGCAGTTGGTCCAGGGGCCCCGGGTTATAGCGGGAGTTAAGGGCGTTCAGTAGAAGGGCTAAGGAAGGGGCCAGGACTCCTGGGTTCTGTCCCGGCTGTGGGCGGGGAGTGGGGGCTAGTGGGGGAGAACTGGGAGTCAGGATTCGGGGGGTCGATTCCCGTTGCTGACACGGACTTGCTGCGAGTTGTGATGCACCCTATGCCTGTTTCCCCTTGTGTGATATATGGCCAGTCTCCTCCTGCCGTGGTGGTGGGGGCTCTGGGGCTGAGGGATGGTCCCTGAAGAGCTTTGAGATCGTCCCATGGCCGGGAGCCCTGCAGAAGGGCAGG